TCCATCGCGCGAGACTGTGTATCGGAAATTCTAAAAATATGCTCATTTTAAAATTATTTTTCGATATTGCTGCTGATTTGAATTTTATGGTTTAAGCGCGAAGAACATGAAATTTAATAAATAAAGTTAACACACAAAATCTTAAAAAAAAAAAGGCCCCTTTAGGCGTAATATAAAATCTGAGAAACTTCAGATTATTTATTTATTTATTTATTTATTTTATTTTATTTCATTTTTCATAATAAACTTCTTCAAGATGTAAATTACAATCATGTAATTTACAATAATTGTGTAATTTGCAATAAAGTTTACAAAGAACTCCGGTACTCACAGCTATTGCACTACTAAATATACTTTTATTTCCATCATTACAAAAACTAACAAGTTAATCTTATTTGCAAAACTTAAAATAAGAATTGAGTTTGAAATGTATTTAATATCTTTAATACGTTTCCGTATTTGTTAAATGAACAGTTCAGACAATATTATATCGATTTGTATTCAGAAATCGACTGTGTCTGTTATTCTCGTATTTATTTTTATATTTTGAAATGGTAATGGAAACTTTTCTTCAGAATGAATGTAATTTATCCATACATGATCCATTACTGAGCATTCCAAAATGAAGTGCTTAAAGTTAGTATTATTTGAGTTGCATTTGCATTTAAAATTTTATCTTAAAACTCTTCCCTAGCTAGTTGAAAATTTGTTATGATTAGTTAATGCCTGATGTGTTAGAGTATCAACCTATAGTCTTAAGCAAGATTCTGTGTTAGAATTTTCTTTTTCTTTCATTGCTCTATCGCTTTTGTTGTAATATATTGAAGCTTCTTATTTAATTTGACATTTCATGCATTGTAATTACATCATAACTTCAATTTCAATGTTTTAAATTTAAATTTAAAGGGAAAAAAGTAAAAATATTTATTAATAAATAAAAGCTTTCTTAAAGCGTGAAAGTTTGAGATATGAACCGTAGCAAAATTCTAGCTAATTAAAATAACCCAAAAGCTTAAAAACATAATATGATTTCCTCCAAAATATGTGGAAACATAACTACCAATAAATTATAAGTGAGATTAAAGAAGGATGTTGTAAGAGTACTAGGAAATTGAATTACTTAGAATTTAAATGACACGAAGTACTGATTGCTTTATAAAACTGCCATCAGAAGGTAAATGCTATAAAAATAGCTCTAGAAACCAAAAAGTTTGCCTTCCTGAAAATTTGAAATTACTTTGCCTTTATTCTATTATTATTTCCTACACGCAGCTTCAAAACGCTTGTTGTTATCTTCTTTTTCAGCATCATATCTGAACGTTTTGTTTATATGTATATTCAGTCCTGATGTTTGAATGGATTATTTTATTAAATCAAAGGTTTTTGCTTTGTAAAGGCAATCGATTCAAGCATTAATGTATTTTTTTCTGGAGAGCGGAATCGTCATAAAAATCTTGCAAATCCAGTGTGATTGTGATTTTCAGAAGTATTTTACAGTTGTTAATGTAATTTAAGTTTCCAGTTTTTGTGGCATAAACATCTTTACTATTCATTCATTCATTTATTTCAAATAATTAACAAATGCAATTTTAAGGAAAGGGATGAAAGCGCATTCCATGTGTATTTTAAGAGCTTGTAGAATTACATGTTTCACCGGGATTTCAAAGTAAAATAAATAAATAAATATTAGTTTTTCTTTGTTCAGTGGATTTTCATGAATTCCTTTTCTTATCGGAGATGTTCCTATCTTTCTCCTTGGATATATTTGGTTTTATTGGCATCTGCTAGACGAATATGATTCCTGTTTATAAAAATTCTGTATTCTCGGGTGTATAAGCCACGCACTTACTTATTACTCCTAATTAAAAATATATGCATATATTCTCCAGGATAAGCTGCTAATAGTTGGAAGTACAAAAGCAGCTAAAATAAAAACAGTACTTAACACACAGTGAAACAAAATTTTTATTATCGATCAAAAGGAACATATTTCTGTATTTGTCACCTCTTATGTATTGTCACTCTCGGTACCACTAGAGTACGCAACCAGTATCACTATCATTGATGTCAATATCTCATATCATTTTATCCTCGGATTTTATTTGTATGCACGTATTTTTATTTATAATCATTCACATGTACATGCCACACCCTGATCTTCATCTGATTTTTCCGTAAAAATCAGTGCGGCTTATATACTAGAGAACACGGTATTTTTATTTAGAACGCAAGCAGTACAGTTTACGTAGGCTAAAAGGGTCTTGACTTTAGCTCAATGTGATATCAATTAATAAACTTGATTGCTAATGTTGCTTCTAAATAAATGTGACCTTCACTTCCAAAAGTTGCTGCATTGAACCGGTTCAGATCTGGGTTGATAGCTTCAACAGCGATATTCGCATAAATTACAGATCAGGAAGAGTGTGTTTGTTTATAACTGTATTTGCTTAGCTTTCTCTTCGGAAGTATTTAGACGTTTAGTTTCTAGTTTTAACTCAAGATTATTCTTTGGGACATTATTTGGGGTTCTTTGGAACTGGATTGCAACAAACGTCATTGTTAATATGTCATTCAACACATGCAGTATTCACAGTTTTCAGTAAACACTCGTTTTTATATCAGTTATCTTTGTTGAGCATACTTAAAAAAAAACATTAAAGCTGTTGAGTTCTTTGTTCAACAGATAGTGCGTTACAGTTGCTGCTTCTTTTTTTTTTCTTTTTATCATTTATGTATTTGAGAATGAGCGACTCAAATCAGGTTCTCTCGATATGTGCAGAGCTTTCCTCTGAAAAGCCAACTCTAAGTAGAATATTGTCTTATTAGAGCATTTTACGTGTTCCTATTAAGTACTTTTCTTTCAAAATGTCATCAAAGGACTTACTAAGTTCTGATCACCTATTATTCACATGTCAGTGATATGGACATTATAAATAGTTTTTTGATTAAGTGCTAAGTATTCAGCACGCTTCACTTGCAAATGATTCTCTTTTAGCTATTTGTTTTGTGACAGCAATTTGTTAAAGATGTTTTCAAGTGCGTCACGCTGCTAAGCAAAATGATCGTCTCCTTTCTTCCGAAGAAAGTCTTTAAACTTTTATAGTCTCGGTTCACAATGCTTTTGATTAGTAGTAATCGCATTATTAAGAACCTAATTTTAAATCACAAAGTTAATAAGGAGCTTTTGTTCAAACAATCATTTATAATTTACATGAATATTATCCATCCATAAATCATTTTTGATTCTGTAATTATGAGGAAACTTGTTCAAAGTGATGATTGTATTATATAGAGAGTTTGTAAGACAATTATCACTTCAACATTTGTATACTCTATTTATGAAACTTAATTGTCAATACAATATAAATTTATTGCTAGTTGTAAACATATATATGCATGTAAAATTATCTTTATTGCTTTAACTATACTTGGTTTTATTAAATTTTAATGCGTAATTTTCAAATATCTGTTATCTCATTATAGTTTAACTAAATACAAGCTGTATATAAACTTTTAAAATTAATTTTAAGTACTTTCATTCTATAAAGCTTCTACTTTTAAATGCTTTTTGTATATGAGTTGTTAAAAAGTACTTTATTTTATACCGTTTAAAAAAAATAATGAGAAAAGAAAGGAAGGAAAAGAAATAAAAAACAGGTAAAAGGAATTTTAGACTGACATATCGAAGCAACCATTATAGTTCTGATTCTAATGATATTGAAGATAGTTTCAGTAAATTCCATCTTATACAAGAAACTAATAGTCTTATCATTGGCTCTGATGGCGGTGATATAAATATAAGAGAACTAAAATCTTACGATAATGATAAAATATCGGACTTTTACCCAATTTTCGGAGCAACTAATAAAAGGACAACAAACTATGTAAATGTGAAAATGCATTGTCTAAGTCTACTTCTTCGTGCAAATTTCTAAATTTTTATCTCTTATAAAATATTTGAAGTCTAGTAAATGTATGGAAAGTTCTGAATAACTTTTGATCATCAGATTTCAATATAGTATTACAAATACTTAATTTTTATTTATTATAAAATATTTTAAATTTAATACATATTAACAAACTAAAAAAAATATTTTTAATCGTTGAATTTTATATATGCATAATGTTAAAATAAACAGACATTAATTTTTTGCATCTTGTATTTTAATTGTCCTTTCTGTTTAACAAATAAATAATTTATTTTAATATTTTTTATGTATCGAAGTGCGATGAGAAGTAATTTTTTTTTACTTAAACATCCATTTTCGGCAATATTAAACTGAATTTAATTATTTGTAAATGCTAGCAAATATTCCTCTTAAATCCTAGAGAAATTCAAAGTAAAATTTCTCAAATATAAAACTGTTGAAAAATCTTGAAACTTACTTGCTATGAGTGTTCTGAAAATTTATAAAAAGTGCTATGCTCTTTGGGTAATACTGATCTATTTTATATCAAGTTATTTAATTAGGTATCTTTATAGATTTAAGATAAATTTTAAGCTGCAATGTGACTGTTAATGAGCAGTTAAATATGCTGATGATATGAGCTTCCTATTTCATCACAACTGTAGTGGGAGATATTTTAAAAAGCGAAATGTTTCAAATAAAGGAGACAAATACTTGGCCTGATGTAAACTTAGTGGAGAAACAGCCATACTTTAAGGGTCCAAGAAGGTTCATTGAATGATGGAGTAATAATTCGTCCGGTAGCGCTCTTAGAACAGGCCTTTAGTCACCATGTTAATTAATACACACAAGTTTCAGTTCTAGGCTAATCAGTTTTACGTAGCTAGTTCTTTATAATCTAAAACTTTTAAAGAACACATTTCCTGTTTTCTACAGAATACTTCAATATGTAATTTCAATATATATGTTGACTATAATTATTGATCAATCTGATTTGTTTGCACGATCGCAAAATGTGATATTAAATGTTGAAAGAATCTAAAAATGTTAAATGAAGTGATCATTGTGTAAATGTATCATTTCTTTTTGTAGATTCACAGAAACTCAACAGGAGCTTGAGGAATATCAGGAAGGCAGCCGAGACTTAGAAACCGAACTGGAGATACAGCTGGAGCAAGCAGAAACAAGAAACAAAGAGCTTCTCTCATCGAACCAACAACTCAAACTGGAATGCGAACGACTACAGGTAATATTTTCTTCTGAACACATTTCCTGTTTTCTACAGAATACTTCAATATGTAATTTCAATCTTTACAACCTTTTCAGCTAAATCATTTTTCCTCAATTTAACAATAACTCCAAATATAGAAACCTATGACCTCTTGCGGAAACACAAGCCCCAGAACATAAGAATATTCACACAGGTTTCATAGGATAATTACCACTGAATTTATATATGTATGTAATTCAACCCCTTGGCAAGATGACAAAGACAAACGATATTTTTGTTTTCCAGTTAACGAAAATGAAATTAAAGTTATTGCTTTAACAATGGCAACGGGTCAGTTATCTATAAATATGTGCTGTATTTAAATATTAAGTATATATGTATATCTCTGTGCTTTCTACAGCGTGAAAGATTACCTTTGTGGGTTTCTATTTTTTTGCTACGTTATATCCCATAGTGTTTCCGTATATACTTGTTTCGCGAACATTGAACTCTTGATTATCCGAACCAATACCGCAAAGCAGGAGTCATCTGAAGCTGTTTCTTTAAAAATTGTCATTAATGCACTGGTATTGTAAATATAAACTGTTCATAATCCCCCCTTTACATTTCTCTTTTCCATAAACAGATAGCAGCAAATTTTTAATTTTAACTTTAAATAAAGGCTTTTAATTGTATTCCTTTTATCACATGTACCAGCTTTCTTATGTCTCATGAAAAGGCGACTACTAATAACTTTTTGAAATTGCCTTGAATGACCGTAAGGCATTAATTAATAGAATTAATTAATTAATTCTGGCTTAAACATCATAAAGTTGTCGCCACCAATAAGTAGAATAAAGATAAAAAAAGATAACTTATAATGAAAGATCCTATTTTAATAGCGTTATTAAAATAATAATAAAATTCGCATAAATTTCTAGTTGGAAACTATCTATTACATTTCCTTTTTTACAGCCATGTTGATATTCTTATGTTATTAATCTTACATGTATTAAGAATGATGATCTGTCTTGATTTTTTCATCTTTTGTATCTTTTTCCATTCATAGTTTTGAGGTTTCGTCACTAAAATAGGGTTTCCAAGAAAAACTGGTGGAATTTCATGCGGTCTCTGTGAAATGTGTTATAATATGAAATGGACTTAAAATGCCTTTATTTAATCCTGTCTCTCAAAAAAATTATGAACAAAATTAATAAGTTTCAATTTTTGCAAAATTAAATAGCGCCGCAGAGAAGTTTGTTTCTGCCCACATTTTGACAAGAATGGCTAATGTAACAATAGAGTTAAAAGTGCTTGTGAGATTTTTCTCCTTGAGGTGGTCAAGATTTTAAATTCTTTCACTGCATTGCACAGAGCTTAAATTGCCCACCAATCGAGTGCATCGGAGTTCTAAATAAGAAGAGCTAGGAAATTTGTTTTATGAAACTGAAAACACGATTCTAGCAGAAAATACTTTTGATCTCATGAAATTTTAATTAGTAATAAGTAAGTCTTAAAAATTAATTCTAACTTCTAATTGTATGATTGTCTCATTGTTGGTAAATTTTTCATTCCGGAAGTACAAAAAGTGATTACCTTGGTCGTGCCGTCGTAGCCACTGATTCGGTATCGGTGGCTTTAGTTAACTGCAATTTCCGAAGAAGGGTAACCGATATGAAGATTCCTCAGTGCTCTGCAAGAGGGGTTTAACATAGTAAAATACTTAGATAAACGACTTGTAATAAGTGTAACTGTAAAATAATCATTCATGTAACATATAAAAAATTATCATTTAAAATGAGACATACAGAAACAATATTTATATAGAAATAATCGGATGCGATTGTTTCCGACAAATTCGCCATCGCAGGGGATTTCTAAAGTAATAATATAATGCTGAATCTCATGCTGAATGAGGGCTAAACGAAGAGGAAAACTGAGATTCAATTTCTGTTCTAAACTCGTAAAGCATTTCTGCGATTTTGCAAAGACTTTCTCTGTACCCACCGAATCTGAAATGGACTTCACTTGAAAGCTTTAAAGCCATGGCTCAAGAGACTTAGATTTCTTCTAATCGTTTTGTTTTTCCCGTACATTATAAAAAAATGGATTTTGAGTAGGCAAAATATAGGAATTCTACCTCTTTCATCTTGTATTATATTTTCAAGATGTTAAGTGCTGTTTCCCAACTGGTGTGTCATGACGTAATAGTTGTATCATAAAGTGTCAAGAGGCGTGAGCGGTTTAAGGAGAGGGAGGAGCAAATATTGAAGACTAATAATTGAACCAACAAATTTTTATTTATTTATTTATTTTATTTTATTTTTTAGTATTTAATTTGGAGGAAAAGGGGCTCGCCTTTATAGGAATCTCCTTTTATGAACTAACACATTTGACTTGATGAATTATGAAGAATTTATATACCTACGAAGTGTAAACCAAAGAATTTGTAAACTTTTATCTGTACTATTTAGTAATTACTTATTTTACGTAAGCATGCAATCAATAATTTTTATACCTTAGAATTATGTTTTTGGAATAAGATTTATTTATATGTTTCATCAACCTATAAATTTACTTTGAAAGATAAATGTGCACGCCACCCAACCGATATTCTAGATTGTGCTCTTAGATACAAAAGAGTTGGGGATCTCTGTATTAAATCAACAAATCAGGTTTAGCACGAAAGCGTTATTTTACCGTGACGAAATTTATTTTTGATATAAACGTGCTAAATTTACACTACGTGAAGAAATTCTTAGTTTATGAATATTATTTTGATACGAATGTTATCAAACTTACCACACGCATTAGTCCTTCAGCTTGCCTTTAAATATTTACACAATTATTCTAAACGATCTGAAGTACCCGATGACAGTTAAGTTAGATTGAGAGTAATATAAATATTGTTTCCATGTTCTATATTTTTAGGTGTTTTTTCATACGGAAAACTAACTATTGAACATTGATTCATGGGAGCAATACATTCGAAAATTTTTACAGTTATTATTAATGAAGAAAATAATTTAAAATACAGATATACGTATGGGAAATGTGAGATTTTATGTATAGCCCTATACTTAAAGGTAATTGATATAATACCTCAAATCTATATCTGTGATATTTCAAAATGCAACATACCATCAACATAAAAGAATTCGTTTAAATTAGAGATCTTTGGCATATTATTAGCCATGATGTTAAAAAATGTTGAAAAATCTGTAAATCGATTGGGACTTTAATATGATTTCCGCATTGGAAAATAATTCACCGCTCAGCTAATGAAGATGGAATCTGCTTGAATAACTTCTTGACATTCTGACTTTTTATCCGAGTAATAACTGTGCTAATTAAGAACTGAACTAAAAAATTGAATTTCAATTTAAAAATTCAGGATGTTTTTCTTCATTTTGTTTTTTGAATACAAAATGTTATAAGATGAAAAGTACCAAGATTATTAATAAATATACCATTGTCAGAGAAATATATATTAGAATAAAATATAATATTATGATAATTATGTAATATATATATATATATATATAGTACTAGCGGAAGTACTCGATGTCAGTTAAGTTAGATTGAGAGTAATGCATCTAACAACAGAGAGAGCGATACCGCTGTTATCTTTCTCTAATAACGATGGTGTGGTGTATTTAATTATGGCAAAGCACACTAGGGCTATCTGCCTAAGAGGAGGGATGCCTTTCGTGGAGGACTTTCTAAGGGAAACTGGCTCGTATACACGTTACACATGGGGAAAACCACGAAAACACCCATGCAGCCAGCCCGTTCGCGGGATTCTGTAATAACGATGCAAAATATACGATTCCTAGTCATATATTTTTCAGTTTGATACGATATGGAACCCACATAAAAAATTTCTGTAGAAAAATAAACCAATTCTCTCTCATTACATCAACAATGACCCGCAGTTTTTAATGATTTTCGTCTTTCTAATCAAATGGTCGTAAAAGCTAAAGTTCCATCCAATATTTCACTTATATTCAATTTTAGTCGATTAAATGTGGTAAAATGTTGATCATAATTAATCCTAAATCAGTAACGAGAACAAACAAACAAACAGCCATTCTTCATTATATATAGAAATTTTGTAAAACTTACAAGTTTTTGATTAACAAACTCTACGATACGAGCTAGCAACATTTTTCGAAATAAAGCATTTTTATCTCCAACGCGTGAGACTGTTGCCACTCGGAAAAATGAGTGCGATAATTAGAGTTTTCAGAGTTCTCGGCTGATCAAAAGTGTACGGAGATGGGAATAGTCGAAATGGCTTCCTACGAATTTTTGGAATCGGAAGTAATGTATTTAATATTTGGCAATGGTATTTTTATTTCATTGTAAAATTTGGAATTTTTTGTTAACAAACTCTATGATTTGAAAGCCTGCAACCAACAACCTAGCAGTATCAACACTTTTCGAAATAAAGCAGATTTTTATCTCCAGCATGCGGGATTGTTGCCACTCGGAAAAATGAGGGCGAAAAATAGCGTTTTCAGAGTTTTTAACTAATATCTCTGATTTTAGCTACTTTTGGGGGGGGGTGAGTGGACGTCGACCTTTTCCAGGACCCCGAAAAGAATTGTAGAAAATTTGGTGACGATAACTACAGTACTGACTGAGTTAGTCGCGAACAAGCGGACATTTTTCTTTATATTGTTACGAATTTGGTATTTAAAAAGCTAATGTTAGTTCAATTATAAATTAAATGGTTTTATTTCTTGCGCAGTGCAGCGCGTGACGAATATTAAAAGAAAGCTAAGCCGGAAAATTGAAAATACAAGAGCGCGTGCATTAAATAAATAAATATCTCTTTTTGATTTCGAGAAAGTACTGGAAAATTCTAGCGCGTGATTTTAAAATCTTATAAAAGGAGGAAAACATCTCAGTTTGTAGGAGTTGCTTAGTTTGTTGTTGTTTAGAAAACTGCTTTTGTTGATTGTAGCGAATTCGCGGATTAGCGTTCTTTAGCTGTTTTGAATTACGTTCTATTGGAGATTTGAGTAGTTAAA